GTCTGCTTACAGTTCTGCAAAAAAAATTTTTTTTTTATTTGAGAAGCTGTATCTTTTGTATTAAATATCTCCAAAATATGTTAAAAATACTAGAAAACTAGAAATATTCTGCTTTAAATAATGTGTAAAGTTCAATAACCAAGTGAGAAATTCTCATAAAAAAATACTACATCTACTCCTTCCCGCCCACTGTCAAATACAAACTCTGCAGCCACTGTAGTTTCTCCTTCACATTTGGAAGTTGAGGGTGAAGCGAGTGAGTTGCAATCTGAAACTGCACCGCTAGATGCCACTAAATCCTACACACCAGACCTTTAACTGTCTCGCGATGTATTGTTACATTCCTATTTTAAAAGTTTAGCTACTACATTAGATGCCTCCTATGTCATCATTCGGTTTCAGGCGAGCTCAGAGATACTTTCCCTCTTCAGCAGATGAATGTGAAAACAGTCTTCTAGTGTCAAACTTTGCACATACATTACTCTGCACAGTGAAGGTTAAACATCCAAGCAGAGTAACAATAAGCAAAACACATTTTTGAGTGGTGGGGCACTTTAAGAATATGTCATTTAGAAAGACAATATCCACCTAAATTAAGGTTAATAAATTCAGACCTAGTCACAGTATCAAACCTCACCATGCCAGTGTACGATACAGACCTCTTTTTAACCCTGCAACATGTGTTCAGACATTTAAATAATGACTGCATTGTTTTCTGACAGGCAAACCTAAACTCGGACGAGAGTTGGGTCGTGGGCAGTACGGAGTTGTGTACTTGTGTGACAGCTGGGGAGGACGCTACCCGTGTGCTTTAAAGTCAGTGGTACCGCCTGATGATAAACACTGGAACGACCTGGCTTTGGAATTTCACTACACAAGGTGAGTTAATAAGATTGTGTAAAACATTACACACACAGACTTGTACAGACAGCTGCTCTGGCATGACCCCAGTAGCTGTTTGTCTCAAAAGTTATTTAATTCTTCACGTGTAACTGCCACAGGTACAAAACCCAACACTCATCACAGCTGGCAGTGCATTTTACTGACAGTCACAAGGTGTGCATTGGAAATTTCAAGTGTGAGCAGCTTGAGAAGCAGATTTTTCAGTGGACATGACAGTTGCCTTATTAAATCTCCACCCAGTATATCAAGAAATAGTTTTGACTGTTGAAGCCTTGAGGCGTTTCCATGCATGTCAGCATTTTAAGGTGTCTTAACATTGTTTGTCTTTGTAAAACAACTATGGAAAACGGCATCATATCTCTTGCCATGTTTTATCTGCTATCTTTCTTACCCTTTTCATTTTCTGACTCTCCACCTGCAGGCGCCATGTCTTTGTGCCTTGATGCATCTACTAATGTGATGCGGGACTGAGGCTGCCTTATTGTGAACAAACATACGTTAATGTACTGTGACATCAAAAGTGATTATTTTATGGTCATATGACTGAAATATTTTCCTTCCGTCTCCTTTGCATGTGTATTGCTTCAGGACTCTGCCCAAGCACGAGCGGCTCGTCGACCTGCACGGCTCTGTGATAGATCACACCTACGGAGGCGGCTCCAGCATCGCTGTTCTGCTCATCATGGAGCGACTGCACAGAGACCTCTATACAGGCCTAAAGGTGACTTGATAATGCATAGAGATGTGTTATTGTTTTATAGGTAAAGCACTGTAATCATCCACCTCACTCAAACACTTCCAGTTAAGTCTCCTTTCCCTTTCTTACTCCATCTCTTTCAGGCTGGTCTATCACTGAGGGAGAGACTTCAGATCGCTCTGGATGTGGTGGAGGGGATCCGCTTCCTGCACAGTCAGGGCCTCTTGCACAGAGACATAAAGCTAAAAAATGTCCTGGTAAGTTGAGAAAAACTAATAGTTTACACGTTTTACTCACTAGACCTTTTTAACAGCAGAAATGTCACAGCAGGAAGAACAAAGATGTAACTGTTAACATTAAAAAGACTGCCTTGCATATAGATGAGCTAGTTCCAGGGTCCTAGTGTTGTGCACGCTGGCTCACTGGCACGGCTCACTGTGACACGTAACAAAAATGGTGTCTACTTTGATTTTCCCGCTATGACCATTCAAAATGTCTGCAGTGAAAAAGGTATATTTTCACTGCAAAGTCTTGGTCTGAAGGACTTCAACACAGAAGCTGGACCCATCAGGATGCAACTGTCAACCCTCAGAAATGGTCAAACTTTGTGAACAAGTTTTTAAAGTAGCTGTAGACATTGTAGATATAAACATGGACATATAGATGATTGAGCACCTACACTGTGTATTTCTTTTTCTATTTTATTTGCTATATGGTCTAACAAGCATTGAACATTCATTTTCTAGTTGGACAAACAAAACCGTGCAAAGATCACTGACCTGGGCTTCTGTAAACCAGAGGCCATGATGTCTGGCAGCATCGTTGGAACCCCGATCCACATGGCTCCAGAGCTGTTTACAGGTACGAAGACTGAGCAGTCACATGGTCAATCATTTCATCATAAAGTAGCTCCTGATTTACAACTTAAAACTGTTCAATTGGTCAGAACTATCTGAACAAGCAGCTACTAGTGGCTGACAAAATATTAAGTCATATTCTTTCAGTAAACCCATTACGTGACCTTTTACGTACACAATGTTATCAGAAGATAAATTTGTCATTACATCATATGACGAAATGTTGCCTAACTGTGCAGGAATGTTCTATGTCAGCCTTTTTTAAGGTTTCCTTTTCATTCTGACTCTTCTCCTCGCAGGAAAGTATGATAACTCTGTGGACGTCTACGCCTTCGGGATCCTTTTCTGGTACCTCTGCACTGGTTCAGTGAAACTCCCAGAAGCCTTTGAGAAGTGCTCCAGTAAGGACCAACTCTGGAACAACGTTAAAAAAGGTACAAAAAACCCCACTACGGTCACTTTCACACCTGTAATTCTGTTTGTTAGGTCTGGAATAAGTAAACAAAACCTATATTGTTGCCTTTGAGTTGTAGTTGGGTTTGCGTTCACGCTGATTGTTTTACAAACGATCCAGCAGCGGTAAACATGACGTTGGTAGAGTAACAGGTTACCTATTAATTGGACAATTTTGGTGAAGTCAATTGGCATCATCAGTGTTATACGGATCCACGTGGGGAAATCGTGGTCTGGTGACACTTTAATGCTTCTAATGTGTTTATTTATAGATCCATGACAAAATGATTTGATGGTTTATAGATTTCTTCCTTTGACAGTTTATTCCCAGAGATGGATTTGATAGTAGTTTAGCTTTCATGTTAAAATCACGTATCTACTATCAAAGTCCCCTTGGAAGCGCACAGAGACTCTCCGGTTGATAGAAAAGTTCCCTCAGAAGACACGTCAGTCTTCACACAGGAAGCCTTTATGTTCACTATCTGAGGAAACTGTTTCTGTCTGTCTCACTTGTCTCCACGTCGCCCCCAGGAGCCAGACCCGAGCGGTTGCCCAGTTTCGATGAGGAATGCTGGCAGCTGATGGAGGCCTGCTGGAACGGGGACCCTTCCCAGAGGCCCCTGCTCGGTATCGTGGAGCCCAGCCTGCAAAGCATCGTGCGCCGACTCTGCAACTGTGGCTCAGAACAGAAAAGTAGCAGCCTCGAGGACTCAAACTGAAAACACTCCAGACAAACTAACACACGTGTGATAGGAATTCTGATCAGGAAAGTATTTTGTATTTATGAGGAACGGAGAAGAACAGGTGACCAATGAATAATGTCCTCATTGTTCACAGTTGTTGGATTTACGTTATTTATGAAGAGTTGATACAGACCAGAAGTTTGCAAATATGTGTGTTTTATTGTTTGTGCTTTGTCTGTGTATTTGTATACAAACTCTACAATATGCTTCCATCGTAGCTCCTGTGCTAATTGCTACTCGGTCGTAGGATTATTACTAGATGCAAATTGTTTTAAAAGTAGTCCATTCCCAGTGTTATGAAAAAAATATAAATATATGAAAGATTAATTTTAGATTGTATTTAAACTGAACATTTCTGCATCTATACAAATACATCTTTTTTTAATAAAATGATCTGTTACAACACACTATCGTGTCATAATTGTTAGTTTATTACTGAAGATTTTAACATTATTTTTTAAATCAGTGGTTCCAAATCTTTTTGCCTTGTGACTCATTCAAACAAGACCCTTGTTTTGTTTGACTAATTTCAGAAACCTTAAGAGATTCGATTTTTCAGTAGTTCCTAATTCGCCGGAAGCCGGAAAAATAAACAGTTCAGCGTAGCAAAATTATTCTTTCCTTCCTGCCTTTCTTTCCTGTAAATCTCTCGTGGTGGCTCAGATTTACATTGGAAATCACTGCTCTAAACATTACAAATGTTTGGAAATGGCAAAGTTTAAGTTTCAAGTAATAAATCAAGTTTGAGGCTCACCTGGAAGAGCTGGTGCCCGACATACAGCGTACAGAGTCCTTGCTGCAGCGGCCTGTGGGTTCAGGTCTGACCTGTGGGCCTTTGCTGCGTGTCATCCCCACTCTCTCTCTCCCTCTCTACCCCCTTTCCTGTCTATCTTCCACTACCCTGTCTAATAAAGAGGAAAAAGGGATAATACTGTGCACTTTGTAACAAAACCTGAGCATATGTACATTCAGTCGCTGCGGTAACTTCGGTGTGATGGCAACGTTGGAGAATTTGAAGCCTGTTCTGTAATGTAAGTGCAGTTTTATTACTCTAACATCTAGTGCTTGATGAGTACTTAATTAAAAGGCGGTTATACAAAATAATTGGTAATTAAATATTTATACATTCTTAATGGTTTATTAATTATTTAAGAGAAGAGAAGAAGTATTAGTTCATAAATTAGTAATGAAAGTAATCATTATACACACTCTGCTAATGCATTTGTGAGAATGATGTTTAATTAAATGTGGACTTTGTTTCCGTTTCAGAACCAGCTGAGCTCAGCAGAAGGAATAAATAACTGGTTGTGAAGAGCTTGTCACCACCTAGTGATTTTTTTTTTTTAACGCCTAGTCCCTTCCCTTGCTTGTACTTTAAACAGATTGCTGGACACAAGCAGTAGTTTGAACTCTCCACTGACACATCGACACTGACCAGTGACTCAACTCAAAGTCCTGCTAATATCTGGACCACCCAGCCAACCCCCATTTCTCAGATTTAAATACTTTAGGTTGTCCCTCAATCAAACCCTCTCGGCCATTGTGTGTATGGCTGAGAATATTGGAAAAGGTATTTCTTTAAAAAAAATAGCAATAAAGCCAGGAGACAGTAGGCTTAGCATAAAGACTGGAAATGTGAAAACGGTTTAACTTTGATTACAGATTTTGTTACCTGGCCTTCTGTTTCTAGACTTGCCAAACTCACCTAGCTGTGTCCCGGCTGTAGCTTCATATTGAACTAACAGATATGAGTGATATTGATCTTATAATCAAACTCTCAGCAAGAAAGCAAATGAGTATACTTCCTAAAACAAGTGAAAAAATGTGTTCCTTCTAATTGTACACCAAACTGAGTAGAATATTTAATAATTTAAACTTAAATAATTTTTCCACGATGAGCTTAGTGTTTGGTTTTCATTTATTCTTTCATTTTCAACGCAACAACCCAGTTTCTGGCAGCCGTTGTAAAAATGTTAATTTATCTTATTGGGCTATATTAAACGTGCTACTAGCAGATTCCCCTCTGAGAGCAGAAACACAATGATACCACCATTGAAACTGTCTTTTACTTGTTGAAGTTTAGTGAAATCAAGACACTCCTGTGTGTCACTACAGCTTTGACTAATACAGCAAATGGCTCTGTCCAACAGTAACAAAATCAGCCTTTCATCACCACTGAGCTTACTAATGCTCGTAGTTATGTGACTGCTTCTTGGTGCTGACTCCAGGAATGGATCGCTCCCGGGCCAAGAAATAGTCCAGCACAAAACTGCAAACTGTAGTTTTTATACATCTGTTTTTTGTGCAGATTCAACAAATGAGATATGTGTTAATTGGAGGTGCTGGTAGGTGGATTTTGTTAAATTTGGACATAGCCAGACTTGCGGTTTCCCCTGTTTCCAGACTGTATGCTAAGCTAACTAACTGCTGGCTGTACCTTCATATTTAATGTTACAATCTGCCAGAAAGTGAAATTCCCAAAGTGTTGAACTTTAACCACCAGCTGGGAAACAACAGATTCGAGTGAACATAATTTTTCGACATAAACAGGCTTTTATTTCTATAATAAAAGTCTGTAACCTGGTCCCTTTAATGTGTGATTATTCCACTTGTACAGTAGCAAGATGCACCTCGATATCGGCTGAAATGCAAAACACATACAGGAGAAAAAAACAGACGGTTTAAAAAAGTTATTTGACTTGGCACTAATAAAAACTTGAGGTAAGATGGAAATGGTAGAAAACAGTTTAATCAGTAAAAACAGGAGCGGCAGAGTAAAAGAGACAATTCTCTGTTGGGATACCAGAGTTGATATGATTGACCTGGTAGTGTTGATTCTTATGGCATGGAACTTATACATTAAATTCATATGGTTGGTAAAATGGCATCCACAAATATCACATCAATTTGACTGAAAGTAGTAACTAAGATAAAAGATATTTCCTCTCACAGAGTATCGAGCGATTCCTAAAAACAGGGAGGTTTACATATTTACTTACATTTAAAGATATGTCCTTGATTCATTTACAGGCCACTCTGTACAGTAAAAATGGATTACAGCTCAAATAGTATTACAGCACAATTCCGCATGTATTTCATTATTTTACAAACGACAAAAAGCTCCGTAGCTAACCTATAAAATACAGCTGTTTAGTCACTGAACTCCGAATGAATGCGTTCATCCTTCAGGTAAAATGATGAAAAAAAATGAGAGCGCTTTTAACGTCCATAAAAAATGTGCTCTCAGTGATTTACAAAAACAGAAAAAAAAGATGTATCAAAAGTCCTTTGAGTCCTTTTTAGGTCTGCACATGCAGGTTTCAGGGCAGGAGGGGCCCCGATGGCTGAGCGAGGCTGTGAGTCTGTGCAGCAGTGAACAGCTGCTGCCTCTGGAAACATCCTTCATTAATGAGAAATAGCTTATACAGAGCATCCATCACCAGGCAGATTCAGCCATTCGTTCTTCCTCGTTTTCAAGTTCAAAAATCCATGGAGAGCCTCTGCGGCTGTGAACGACCAGCACTCGACCGTTTTTTTTGTGCCTCTTGGACATTTCAGGTGTGTAAAGTAACTCATAAACCTGAGTCTGGACTCCTCAAACCTCAGAGTGGCACAAACACTTACAGCTCCAACAGTAACAACGTAAGCAGGCAAACCAGGAAGATGTCACAAAGTAGTTATGCATGAAAAAAAATGAGTTTCCCTGAATGTTTGCAAGTCTACAACTAAAATGACCCACCCAAAAAAAAAAAAACATTGTGTGTTCCACAGTCTTCAAAACATAATATATATCCTGGAACAAAAAAAAAAAAAAAAAGAAGCGACTGCCAACAAATCTAGGCAGTTAATTTAAAAAAAAGTGCATTGCTTCAAGTATGTAAACAAAATGATTTCTTTAAAGGGAGAGTGAGACTCGTTCTGTCGGTGTGCGTGAGCCCGGGTCAGTGCAGTGACTCCTGAGGTTTGGCACACGTGTATGAACTCACATACACACATACACACTTACACACACAAACAACTCTTTATTCAGAGGGTCGTGATGACGAGAGGAATTCCTTCTATTTTCACTTTTTTACCTTCTAAGGAAGTCCGGGTGCTTCCTGTTTGCAAGGTCAGGTGTTGAGGAGGAGCTCATGACTGCAAAGACACACGCCCTCCCGTCAGCGCGGTCGAGCGATGGTGCGTGGTTCGTGGCTGCTGGGAAGAACAGGGTGGGTGCATGGGATGGAGAGGAGGAGGAGATGGTGGTTGGATTTAGGATGGATGGAGAGGAATGTGTTGATGATGAATGCAGCGCAACACGAGAAACACAAACATAAAAGAAAAAACATGAGGTGACGAAACACACACACACACACGGACAAACACACACAGACACACACATACAGGTTGAGATAGGTGACGGAGGCTAAAATGATGCACCGATCTGAAGACAGTGATCCTGATTGTTTTAAATGAGGATCAGAGCTTCATGGGATAAAATTAAAGAATAAAAATCTATGATTTTTTGGAGAGAGAGAGAAGGAGCAAAGAATTAGCATTAGTAAACTACAATTTATGTTTCAACTGTAAATAAGATCAGCTGTATTTCAAAAATTGAGAATTCAAAATTGCCTTTAAGTAAATATACGTGCACATCTTCATGTCCTAACCAGACATCTATTTTAGTGCCTCCTGTCCTCCTTTATACTCATCTGCAGTCGCTCATACAGTAGCTGAGCTTTAATCTCACCATTTTCTTCATATTGGACGCTGTGTGCAGCTTTTCATACAAAAGTTAGAGCAGTTAAAGGAAACTTCACCATCCTCGTTCAGTGCCAAACAACACAACAGGGTGTTTAAAATAGTCTCTCTTCTAACTCTCTTGGCTTCTATCTTCTAAAATGTGTTCATAGTACAGGGAATCAAAACCTTTTAAGTATCGAATGTTGGCATAAAATGTCAGATTATAAATCTTCTAACTTTCTTTAATCAGACTGTTTAAGTTCTTGAACAGCTGCTTATATTTAGTCACATACTATAATTGTTTTTGTTTTTTAAAATAGATTTAAATTTCTTAAAGTAGTGTATCAAAAAAGTGTTGTGGCTATTAATACTGAAACTAGGGTATCGTATTTGCTTTAGTATCCAGAAATATCAAACAGTACCTGGTAACACACTGATATATTTCAGTTTATAGAAGCAATAAGTCAGCTATAACCAAACATATTTACTGTAATAAACAGCCCTGAAACAATGATAAAAAACTGGAGCTGATTGTCCACAATGAAGTAAAGGATGGATGACTGTAGAAACATCTGTGTGTT